GCCACACGGGACACCAGCGGGACACCGGCGGGACACCGCGGGCCCCCGGCCGCCCGGAAGGGAGACATTTGGTCCGGCCGCGCCTCAGCCACAGGAGACTTTCTTCTCGCCCGCCCACGCAGCTTCGCCTCGCCCGCACGCACGGCACGCACGAACACGAAACCGAAATCGATTTCCCGGTAGGGGGGCTCTCCGTTCCACTTCGATCTCACCCCCTCACCTCCGACCATCAGCATCATCATATTTGCCGCCATCATGAGCATAGTCATCGCCATCATAGTCAAGCGTTCGTAGCTAATCCTCGTCCTCGTTCGAATCATCAAAATCATCATCTGCATCATCACCACCACCACCACCATCATCATCGCACTCATCCTCCCAATCAGCAAAGCCATCGTCGTCTGCTGCATGATCATCAGAAGACATTAATGTTGTCGTGATCACGCTCACATTACCATTAGAGATATAGTCGACATACCTATACGACCACCCTTCGGGTGATAAGGAGGTTCGGGGGGGGAGGAACCAACGTCTTACTCGATCGGTCTCACTATCGATCTCACTATCGATCTCAGTATCGGTCTCGCTCGATCGATCTCCCTCGATCGATCTCACAATCGATCTCACAATCGATCTCACTCGATCTCACTCGATCTATCTCACACTCGATCTCACTCGATCATCATCATCATCATCATCATCATCATCATCATCATCATCATCATCATCATCATCATCATCATCATCATCATCATCATCATCGCATCATCATCATCATCAGCATCATCATCATCATCATCATCATCATCATCATCATCAGCAGCAGCAGCAGAAGCAGCATCAACATCAGCATCAGCATCATCAGCAGCATCATCATCAGCATCACCATCCATCACCATCACCATCATCATCATCATCATCATCATCATCATTCATCATCATCATCATCATCATCATCATCATCATCATCATATCATCATCATCATCATCATCATCATCATCATCATCATCATCATCATCATCATCATCATCATCATCGGGACACCGCGGGACACCGGCGGGACACCGCGGGGCACCGCGGGACACCGCGGGACACCGCGGGACACCGGCGGGACACCGCGGGCCACCGGCCGCCCGGAAGGGAGACATTTGGTCCGGCCGCGCCTCAGCCACACGGGACACCAGCGGGACACCGGCGGGACACCGCGGGCCACCGGCCGCCCGGAAGGGAGACATTTGGTCCGGCCGCGCCTCAGCCACAGGAGACTTTCTTCTCGCCCGCCCACGCAGCTTCGCCTCGCCCGCACGCACGGCACGCACGAACACGAAACCGAAATCGATTTCCCGGTAGGGGGGCTCTCCGTTCCACTTCGATCTCACCCCCTCACCTCCGATCCATCGTCTCATCATGATTGCCAACACCATCATCAGCAGCATCATCGTTAACATCGTCAGTGGTGGTCATCACCACCATCATCATCATGATGGTCAACAGTACCAGTATCCTCAACGTCGTCGTCAACGACCTCGTCATCATCTTTAGCATCACCAGCGACATCATCAGCATCATCAACCACATCACCAACATCACCAACATCACCATTATCGTCGTTGTCGTCGTCGCCGACAACAGCAATATCACAATCCACATCATTCCTGTCCCCATGATGGGCATCACCATTGCCGTCATCACCATCCGACGCTCGCAGCTTCTTCCGGTCCTCGTACTCACCGTCATGGTTCATTATCGTCAGCATCCTGCCCAGCATCTGTCATAATCATGAGCATCATCATCAGCATCATCACTCTTATCATCCTGCGGTTTGTACAATCCCCAGCCTGGCGATCCTTTCCTCAGGTTCCTCCTCGCCAACATAGCACTTCCTGCGCCTGCTCATTCTGCTGATCGTCTCTCCTCCTCCTCCTCATCCTCATCCTCAACCTCATCATCATCATCAGCATCATCTTAATATGAATCATCATCATCATCGTCATCATCATCATCATCATCATCATCATCATCATCTTCATCATCATCATCATCATCATCATCATCATCATCATCATCATCATCATCATCTTCATCATCTGCATCATCATCAGCATCATCATCGTCATCATCAGCAGCATCATCACCATCATCATGCTACCACCACCATTTTCATCAGCATCATCAGTAGCAGCATCATCATCAAACGCATCATCAGCTTCATCATCAGCATCATCATCATCATCATCATCATCATAATCATCATCATCATCATCATCAGCAGCAGCATCATCATCATCATCATCATCGTCATCGTCATCGTAATCGTCATCATCGTCGTCCGCCATCCTGGGCATTCACAATCATCAGCAGCACTCCCGTCAGCATTCATCCTCATGTTCCCGCGCTTCATCCTCATCATCCTCCCCCTCCCCCCCTCCCCTCCACGAGGAAGCACGAAACACTTCCGAAAACACTGAGTAGTAGAAGAAGAAGGTCGCCAGGGGCCCACCAGACATCTGGCAGCTACATGTTTTCCAGACTTGGGCCCCCAGACCTCTCGACCCCTTCTTGGGGCTGGCTTGTCATTTCAAATTGTTGTTTGACGGCCCCAACGCCCGAAACAGGATTTCAGCAGCTCAGGATTTCGCCGGGCTTACGCGAGAAGACATTACGACCTTCCGCCGCAGCTTACGCGGGCCGCCAGCGTGGCACACCGCGTGGAAAAGAGTACGCTTACCCGCGACCTTACTCATCCATTGCTCAGATGTCTGGGTCTGGGGCCCTAAAATCCGCACTCGAACCTGTCCTCGAGAGCGTCATGGACAGAATCTCGGGACGCGTCCAGCCGCGGCGACGGGGAAACCCCTAGAGGCCCAAGAGGGGCGAGAAACGTCAAGCAGCTTCGATCCTCGAGCCTCGATAGTGGAACCTCGGTCCTCGGTGACTGGAGAAGGGAAAGCAGCGAACAGGCGCTCGGGGAGATCGGCGACACGAAAGAGCGACCCTAGGCAAGAGCGACCTTTGACGCGTCGCTTGCAGTAGGGGTCCTTCCATAAGGAACCTTACACAAGAAACCCAACCCTGAGACCCCAGGACACCCATTGGTTTTTAATCTGGGAAGGTCACGCTTTCCATAGCAAACCAAGAAACCCAGAGCACCCTGGAGGCAAGCAGGGTGTCTCTTGGCATGGGTCTCCACTGTACCGATCGCTGCATGCGATGCGACAGTAGCCGCCAGCTCGGGTTGGGCCTCCCGCGCCCCCCCCCCCGAAGTCACTTTGGCAAAGGTCACTCTGACGCGTAGCCGGCCCAGGCGCTGGGGCCTTCCCCAGGGCCCAGGCCGCGACCCACCCGAGCTCTGTAGGTCGGTCTGGGGGCAAACGAGACGGAGGAGCAGGACGAATACTTTTCTTCGCCAATGCGCCGCGCGGTCGCAGGGAGGAAGGGAGCCCAGAGATCCGACGTACCGACTGCGGGTCCTCTGAAAGCGCTCGACACTTTGAGCAGGGCCGGCTCTACATCCTGAGTCGTCCTGGGACTGTCCTATGGTTAGGTCGGGCCCGTCCTCCTACAGGCGGATTTTGGAAGAAAAGTGAAACATTGGCAAACAATATTCAGAAATAGCCCAGACTCGTTTGCTTCCAAACCAGAAAAACGCTCCCTGCCCGAAATAATCCCTAGGGACCGGCGAGGGCACCTCTGGAGGCCGACAACAGCGAAAAGCTCACCGCTTCTTGTCTCGATACGGTGGACGTCTGAGCTCGGGGGGGAGGGAGGGAGGAGGAGAGAGAGGGAGGGAGGGAGGGGGAAGGAGAGGGAGGGAGGGAAGGGGGGGAGGAGATGAGAAGGAGACGGGGGGAAGGGAGACCGGGAGGGGAGAAGCACAGCGAAGCCATCCACACACAAGCACACACAAACAGGACGGAGAAAAGCGACCTGCTCCGTCGGCCTGCGTGGAGTGCGCAAGTCGCCGGCCACACGAGGCCAGGGGGAGGGAAGAGAGAGCAGGAATACAGAAGAGGACGAGGCGGGGGCTGGAGGCTGGGCGAGAAGGAGGAGACTGGAGGAAGAGCAGGGGAATGACGGCGACGACGACGACGACGACGACGACGACGACGACGACAGCGACGACGTTAACTTTAACGCTGACGCCAACGCCAACGCTAACGCTAACGTGGACGTTGGCGCTGACGTTCATGTTGACGTTGACGTCGACGTTGGCGGACAGAGAATGGGAGCCTGCCCCTAGACTGCGACCCTTCTGAGATGACCGCGATCAGATGCAAGAGGCATGCGCGGAGCAATTTCACGCGGATGTCCCCACGTGCGCACCTCCTTCCTTAACACTTCCCGCAGAGAACCCCTCTCGCAAAGAAAGAGGACGCCAGCCCACCCCCCTTCGAGGTCCAGACTCCCTGTGGGCGGGGGCAGCATCAAAAGCAACGGACTTGAAGTTCGGGAACCGATTTTCAAGCCGGGCATGTGCCGAGCGGGCATTTACGTATACGTCAGAACCGATGGTAAATAGTAGCACGCTTGTACGGCTACGCAGAGTCTACTCATGGACCCCGTTCTTGATAGATTTTTCCGTTACCCGCATTGCTTGCGTTGGGGTCCAGTTTGGCACCCCTTGCACCCCGCAGCCGCAGAGAAAAGGGAGGTGTATGCGAGGACTGGGGCTGGAACGAATTCACATCAAGATGCGGCTGGGACAGCGGGAAGCTGATGAAGAGGAAATAGCGAACCTGCATAATTTCCTTCAATCGGGATCGCGCGCCGAAACACGGGGCAAGGCGTAGGGGTGGAGGCTCGTTCGCTGCTGAGTCGACGTTAACGTTGCTGGTTGTCGTTGCCGTTGACGAAACGGCGACGACGACGACAGTGACGACGACCACGACGATCGTTACAACGACGATAACGATTACGACGACGAAGGCGACGTACGACGACGCTGGCAGCGGCAACGAAGACAGCGACGAGGGGCTAATGGCAGACCACCAAGGGCGGCTCATTTCGCCAATCGCCGCCGGATCTCCGTGGACGAGACGTCGTTCCGGAAGTCTGGGATCTGCACGAAGAGGCCCTGGGGAGGCCGCGGGGGCGACAACCACAAGGATGACGGCGGCAGCGACATCGGCGGCGATAGCAGTGGCAACCGCGACGGCGACTGCGACGATGGCAGCGACGGCGACGGCGGTGGCGAAACCGACGCCGTTAGCGGCGACGGCGGCGACGGCGAAGGCGGAGGCGAAGGCGACGCCGACAGCGACGATGGCGGCAACGACGACGGCGGCGACGGCGAACGCGAAGCCGACGGCGACGACGGCGGCACCGACGATGGCGGCGGCGGCGAAATCGACGCCGACGATGGCGACGGCGACGGCACGCCCGCGAATGCACCAGCTGGCGTCCTCGAGGTCCGCGGGCAGCTCGAACGCCGGGTCCGAGGATAGCGTGCGGAAGCGGTCACCGTCGAGCCCTCGGCCGGGCCACGGGACCCCCTGGCCTCGAGCAGGGAGGTTTGTTCAAACCTCTGCGGCCCCATGCCACCGAATCACGAGGACGAAGGCTGAAGCTGAACGCATCGCGACTATACTATATATATATATATATATATATGTATGCCCTTCCCGGAGGTGGGGGGAGGGACGAAAGGGGAGGAAAGAAGTCACAGGCAGGGGGGAAGGAGAAGGAACGCACAGGACGACGACGCTGCCAACAGCAGCGGGAAGCCCCCCGGATCGGCGGCACTGGCCGGAGGCCAACACTATATTTATATATATATATATACACATACATACATACAAATATATACACATACATACATACATACATACATACATACATACATACCTACCTACCTACCTACATACATACATACATACATACATACATACATACATGCATGCATGCATACATACATACATACATACATACATACATACTGCCCTTTTGCCTTCCTGCCTGTCTGTTGTTCGGCCCTAGTTGTGTTCGACTGTTGAGCTCTACCTGTCGCAACGTCGAGAGGCCAAAAACGCGTGTACGCGTCTCGGCTTGTACTCTCTGCATCGTCCGAAGTGTCCCAGCGACCCACGCACGGCACTCAGGAGGAGGAGGGTGCAAGGAGGAAGATCGAGGATCGAAGACCATCATACCTGGTGCAAGCTTGGCCCTTGTTGAACTCCTGCGCACACGCGTAGCTGGTTGTCGCTGATTGCTCTTCCATCCTTGTCCACTGCACTCCAACGTCTTTAGGAGGCCACATGCGAACCCTACCTTACCACTCACTTCGCTCGGGAGGTCCCGAACGAAGTGCACCCCACCTCCCCCCTGAGAGATCGTGGAGTGGTGGGGTAGGGTTCGCATGTGGCCTTCTAGTCTTCCTCCTCCTCCATCCTTCTCTCACTCCTCATCAACACCCTCCTACCCATCTCTCATCCTCTCGTCAACCTCCTCCTCCCCTCCTCAACGCGCAGCCCAGCCTTGCGGGAGAATTGCGACGGGGACGCAGCCGCCTCCCAGATGGCAGATCCACGACAGCGGAATCGATACAGCACCCATGCCGACCGTGACAGAGCCTGAGGGCGTGCCTCATCCAAGCATCAACTGGGTCGGTACTCAAGATGCCAGCCAGGATGAGAGGGGTCGAAACGAGGAGTGGCTCAGGGAGACAATGACCTGGAATCGAAGATGCACAGTCGCCGATGGGTCAGCGAAAGGATCCCGATAGCGAACATCTATGCTTCTGGTTGGGGCGGGGGGGGGGCCCAGGCCCCGACGGGCGACGAATGGGCGGTTGGAGGTTGGTGCTTCCCCCCCTGGGCCGATCCCCCCTGCCGCTGCCCCTGAGAGTAGGCAAGCGGAAGGGGGGATGGCCTGCCTGCACGACGGCGGCGAGGACCTCAAAGACAGCTGAAAAGCACGTCCTGGACCCGTGCCGGGGCCCCTCCGTGGCCAGCCTCTCACACCCCAGCTCGACTCCTGGCGGCCCCCCGGGGCACAAGGCGGGCACCTGGAGATCCGAGAATGGCGCAAGCCTCGATCGCTCGATCGACGCTGGCGACACCGACGCTAACGTTAGGTCAGGCATGTCCTCCTACAGGTGGATTTCAGAAGAAAATAAAAACATAG